TAAAATAAATTATTAATAAAAAATAATTTTGTACTTTAATATAAATTATTTGTCATAAATTTAAAATATAATTTATATATTTAAAATATCTATTATTTAAATTTTAAATATAATTTATATATTCCAACATAATATCATTTATATACATAATTTATTTTAAATTTTGATTATATATAATAAATATTTAACCTAAATATTATACTAATTAAAATACTAGTTGAAATATAAACTTCAAAATGGAGACAGCAGCAAAGTCAAAATAGTCGAACATTGAAAAATCCTTGTACCGATAGATTGATCGAGGTATGTCCCACACTCCCACACAAATCCACTCGAAGCTACATATGTGTATTAGCACGAGATAAGAATAAAATATTTATACCAAAAATTAAATAACTACAAAAGATAATACTGGAGACAACTGAATGATTGGGGGGGAGGAAACACACTAAAACTTTTTGTACTACTCAATCAGCTTTTCTTGTATTCATCCTTATTTCTTTTAGAAGTAGATTTTTCTTTGTTTTTGTTGCTTTAGCATGCTTCTCTAACACCATGACACTGTACCAGTCTCAAACCTCACCAAGATCAATCATCGACTATGATTCTTCAAAATACTTTTTTTTTTCTAAAAAAAAATTCTTAACTTCTCTCATCTTTTTTGAGAAATGTATGTCTCAAAATTTCAGTGTCCCTCAAAGGCTTAGGTGTTTGGTTTATCCTTTGGAAGATCTTGAAGATTTTCACCTATTTTAATGCATAAAACATAGATGTAATTTTTTGTCTCATTAGATTAAATTGAGTTAGTAATTGTTGTGTCTCATTAGATTAAACTTGAGTAGATATCACACATATTCTTAAGCTTTTGAATCGTTGATTTTTGTTGGTGTTTTGTACGTTTGGATACACAATATAACCTTGGTAAGATAAAAAAGAATCACATAAAAAGTGATAATTTTTGTCGGTATTTGATATATTTGGATACACAAAAAAGATTTTGACAAGTGAAATAAAGCCAAAGCAATTTAAAGATGTTAAGCCAAAGTAATTTAAACATGTTAAGCATGACAAATAACACATGTATGGTTTTTGTATACTAAAGGTGAATTAGGTTGGATGACAAAGAGTGTGTTTGTTTTTCCGTTTGGTACAGGTAAACGCGGGTTTATTTTAAAATATCAAGACTTATACTTTTCTATTTTGTTGTTTTGAAATGCACGCCACCGATTATACAAACACACACAAAATGGATCAACTCAACCCTTGAATACTCATCCACACACATTCTCATGCACTCAAATGGAAAAGTATGAGTGTAGATGGATTGAGTTGAACGTACGTTTGGTTTTTCCAAATGGTAAAATAAACATGCACTAAGTTGACCTGTTGTTAGTATATTTTGCCTAACAATGGATTGGTAGGAAATGAAAAGAAAAAAAATACATATTATTTTGGATATGTCTTTCAATATTTTTTTTCTTAATATTTAAAATATCCACATAAATTAGTGCATCTAAATCATAAAATAAATATAAATTTATAATATTAATAGTTCTTAATAGATTTGTTGCACTATAAATTACAGATTACACACATAATAAATCTTATATAACTTAGTTAAACTTATTGTTAAAATAATAGATAAAATTAAGTGGATCGAGAAACTAACTCGCCTCAACCCATCATTTGGCTATTGGACTGGCAAATTAGGCAAAATAGGAAAAATGGTTTAGGCAAAATGGCAGGTTAGGATACCTAGCTAACTTAAGCAACCAATTTTTGGTCGATCTGTAACCCATTTTGTCATTCTAAAAATAGGTTCATGCGACCAAACAAAATGTACTATATTCTTTTAATAGAGTTATAAACATCGTAGATCTAAAAAAAAATTGCATTGTGTGTGGACGTGGGTATATAGTCGTGGAAATATAGTAAGTTAAATCTAGTCAATAAACTGGAACACATTAAAAATAGGTTTACCATGAAAATAGGAAGGTATTTCAAATTGAAATAATTCACCAAAGATCATTAATACAAATGATTTGATATTTGTATTTATTGATTAAGAGTTAAAATTTAATTTCTATATAACTTATACATAAAGTCACAAATTGATCTACATTTTACCTCTATAAGACCAATATGATGAAAAACAATTATACCTTCATATTAAAAAAAAACAAAAATTGAAATATTATGCTAATTAATATCGTTAAAATGAAACTCCTAAAAATATTCTCTATTTTCACTTACATGCATTGAGTGATAAAGTAATTATAGATAATTTATTTTTAAAATATTAAAATTTAATTTATAAATCTATGCTAATATTAAAAGGGATACCACTTTTTGGTGTCCATAATTTATTTTCCAATTTTATCCTTGTAACGACCAATCGTAATCATCACACTTATGTATCACAATTACTTGCAATAGAACTATTTCATACTAAAGGGTTTATACTTAAAATAATTGGATATGCACATTATAATATGTATATAAATATAAGCAATTAAAAACAACTTTACAATTATATACAATATATGTACAGACCGTACGATCATCCAATATAAAAATAATATAAAATTCTAAGTGTTAGTCAACCACAATTATATAAACCTTCCAAAGGTAGTCGTCAACAACATTACCACTAGTGTGACCCACAACCACACCAAGAACTCGTTCTAGTTAATCCTACCCTATTCCCATGAAAAATCATGATCATTGAAATCCACACCACATGGAAAACACACAAGGTAAGTTAGATTTAAAAAAAATACAAGTATAGGAAGAAATATTTATACTACTCTCCAACATGTAAATCAATCAAAACACACCACATGCTTTACAATATACAACAATCAACATGTTTGAAAGTTAAGCACCCAAGCAATTCAAACATTCACCACAATCACACCATACAAGATAATCATCCAATACATATGAACAACAATCAACTCACACCACATTACATGCATACACCATAACTAATGTGTTGTCACGCGTCCACTTACAGCTAAAATACCTAAGCAGTTTAAGTGACTTGACCTTACCGAGCCAACCCGATCACATTCACGCCTAAGGCGTCCACTAGATTGACAGCTAAAATGGGATATCAATTCCTTCTCTAATTTATCAAGTGTCACCACTTACACTATGAAAGTTTGGTTCTATCATTAGGATTAATATAACTGAGTATAAGTGTACCACAACCTTGACATGCAATACCAAGTCACATATGAAATTAGTCCACTAATTATCCGTAATGAATCACATAAACTTTTTAGCTAGTAATTAGTTAAAGGTTGTAGACCCCAACTTCATATTTTACTCAACATTGACTAAGGACTTAGAGAAAACTCAACAAGTCATTCCAAGAGCTTTACACCTACTTAAGGAGGATTTTCAACAATTGGTCTGTCAAAGCGCCAAAACAAAATTTCCCATATGGGATCTTCAACTTGCAAACAACAGACATCTTCTTAAGTCTTAAGTCGATTAATATGTTTTAATTCCTACAACATTCTCAACATCAACGCCTTAATATACATCATTTATATACATTACCCAAGTTAATGCATATAAAAATCAAATCACACTAATCATAATTAGCATACCAATGCTCAATGACTTATTTAATAATAACATATCAATGCATATTTAACACACCAACCATGCAATTTATAGTATATCAATCATATATAACATATCAATGCTCATCACCATAATAGCCAAATCATACATGCAATGCATCCATCCACCCATACCAACCATGTATAGCTCGAAACCATGTTCAATTTCAACATGAAACACTAAATTATTCAAATGCATCAAAATCACTTTCATAGTTCAAAATACCGAAACTCTTTTCCTCCACCATTCAATCTAATTTCAACCACATGCATGCTCATAGTTGATGAAAATAACAACAAATAATTCATTAAATTAAACAACCAATCCGTCCTAGCTCCCTTTACCTTACTCCAAGCAACAAGACGAAGAAAGAAGGAGAAGATGATTTTTCGAGCTTCCATGAGCTCTACAACCACCCAACTTAGATTTCTTAGTCTTTGAATGCTTTGGATCACCATATTAAGGATCAAAGGAATCTCTCACGGGATTTAGAAGGAAGAAGTAGAAGTTAGAAATCTCGAGAGTCTATCTTCCTTGTTTCTCTCTGAGATCTAAAAATCATGAACTTATGGTCAACTAAACCTCTAACCAAAGACCCTCAAAACTAATTAGACTCTCGAGAGTTCTTCAACTCCCAAAGTCCCACAACATACCTCAAACACCATATAGATAAATTATTATTACTAAAAAATAAGAATTAAAAACTTATAGTATTACAACCCTTTAGTTAACTATCTTAAAAAAAATATACAACTAATAAAAAATGCTCATTAATTAATTGTTAAAAAATTCCTACTCTCTCAAAGGAATGAAGTACCTTTTATCCTACTAGTAGATATAATAAACATTAAAATAAATAAAAATAAAAAAAACTCTTAATATCTATCTTATTGAAAACTCTTATAAAATAAAAATTTATCTTAAAAATATTATCACTCAATATATATATA